ATCAATTGATCGCCTCCCACAGTAGCCCAGACCCGGGAACAAACCCACAGCTCAGGTTTGCACGCTCACGGGAGCAGAACCCCCGGCCCTGGTGCACGGGCCGATCTCCAGGCGCCTGAGCACCCTGGCCGGGGCAGGCTGCATCTTCTTCTTAACCTTGCATCTTACCTCTAAGAATCACGGGCTTTACGGCTGGAATGCAAACTACTACCATCATATTTCATCTTTCTCATTTTGCAAAGAATTTAAATAATTTATACACGTTCCACAGTAATAAAAACTAGAAGCATGGCAAGGGCCATAACTTCAGGACCTGTGCTGAGTGCTTCCTGGACACTTCATATGCTTTTATCCAAGAGAAGGGAATTAATGTGACAGTCCCCTTCTGTCAGACGAAGAAAGTCAGTCACACAGCTAATGAGTGGGGAAAGGAGCGTTTCAACCTGGGTTCAAATTTCAAGCCCATGCTTTTAACAACTATGTATAACAAAAATAACGCACCATGGAAGATAGACCCCCAAGCGATCGGGGTTCGAGGGATGTCTTTTCACCCATGACTGCAGTAAAAAGAAATTTAGTCCTGGCATCCCAGTTGGGGATAGTTAACATATTTTCCCACAGAAACTTTGTTGCACATGATGGGTAGATATGTGTATTTGACAAACATTCAGGTGCCCCCTCTTTTAGACTTCCTGGCACACTGTGAATTAAACAGGCGCTTAGAGGCAAATCTTACAATCTAACCACCACATTTAGCATTTTCTTAAATAGAAAATGTATGCCGTGTTCCAAACAGTCAAACTAAAAATAAGTATTTCAAGTGCATCCTGCTCATGGTTGCTTGCTATCTGCCTTGATCACAATGGAGAAATAATTCATAAAAGATTATACGATCACTACTGTGTGAATGATTCAGTTTTACTCCGAGTGGTGTGCAGTGTGCGGGCGTGCTCCTGCGTGTTTTCAACGTCTGCGTCTCCATCTCCTGAAGATGAGTGAGGTTGCTTCAGAATGTGCTTAACAGAGACGAAAGTCAATTTACATGGGAGCATCAGCATGTTCATTGTGCTGGGGCGGCTTCATGATTGACGCAACTTGTATCTACAAGTGCTGGCTCTAACAAAGGCAGGTTGTAAATTAATTTCTCAGGAGTGATACTAGACGAGATCTGTCAAGAATGACACATTTTCAGTTGTACTTCATTAAAAACAGTGGGGAAGAAAGTAGATTGTGTGTGTTTAACAAGATGTTAGCACACTTCTAATTTTAATATTCACGTGAGGAAATTAAACATTCACTAAATATTGCTAATAAATTGCAGGAAATGTTAGGGAAGATATTTATTATGAGATATTTAAAATTCTGGGAAATAATTCTGGTGTTTTGACGGGACTGTCACTTTTAAGCGGCGGGGAGGAGAGAGACACCTGTCTTGGCTGCACCTCTAGGGTAGCATTTTCTTGGACAAACTCTTTATTTGTGGGGATGTCTGCTTGGGAGAAGGGTAAAGGGGATACATGGCTCACATCATAGAATATCTTAAAATGTTCTTTAAACTCTTAATTGTTCAGAAATTCAAGTCAGAACTGCTTGACTTGAACTGCTCTCAGGGTGACAGAGAAGCCCAAGCTGTCGTGCAGACTGGGGCTTGGGCACCCTCCTGCGTGAGGCGTCTTCCGGGCCCTCACTGGTTGTGCTGTCTCCCTGCAGAGTCCTCGAACGCCACCTTGCTGACCAACGCCGAGAAGATCGCCACCATCACCACCACACACGCCCCTTCCCAGCAGGGGGCCCAGGAGGCCAGGTCAGACAGGGCTTTGGTTTCCTGTTCCTTTAAAGGGAAAAAGCAACTCCTGGGGTGACACTCGTCCTTGGTTCTGTTTCCCCACAGGTGGCTTTTATATTTATTATTTCTCTCCCTTTGGCAGGAACACCACCAAACCAAAGCCAGAATCGCAGTTTGAGTTCAAAGCACCCCCGGCCACACAGGTGAGGCCTCGTCTGTTTTCTCCGTTTACTTTGTACGTTCCCTTCCAGCTTTCTGGAGCTATTTTTACAAGATATCTTTGACCTCAATTAAAATAAATAACCTTTTGAGAGGGATGTACTAAATATATACTCACATTGGGCTGTCTGGGAAATGACATTTTATTTTACTACCTTTGAAAAATATTCCTAGATATCCTCCTCTGGGCCAGGCAAACAAAATAAAAAGCTGTAACAGCTGATATCTACTCGTGGCATTCGTAATTGCATTTATGCCAGGAAAATGTCTTTTTCTTAAGGTGTTTCTCAGACTTGTGAATTTCAGGTGGGACCCATAGAGCTAAATACCTGTCACATACTGTGGCAGTGGTGGGTGCACAAACAATAGGTGAAGCAAATTCAGGAAACATTGTATGATGCAAAGTTAAACAGGTTCCTCTTCTGCAAGCCTTCTGAGCCTGTTGCTACCCTGACGATGGAAACTGCTGGCATTTTTCGGGCATTGGGCAAGGAGCCTGAACATGTAGCAATGTGCAGCCATAAATGGTGACTTGCAGAATCACTGATTAAATTTTAATATATACGTGTTGGTGTGCAGTTTGTAGGCACACTCATGAGTGTTTTTAAATTCTACAAACTTCTCAGTTTAATGGATATTAATGAACAATTGAGGATCACCAAGAGGGGGATAGCGGTCGTGCCTTTTGGTCAAATCAGCATAACAGAGAGTGTTTGGGAAGAGATGGAGAGAAGTATGTGTGGATGTAAGCTCTCCCAGAATGATTATGTTTCATTTCTTGAAATAGGAGCAGGATTTTTACACTGTGGAACTGGAAAGAGGAGCCAAGGGATTTGGCTTTAGTCTTCGAGGGGGCCGAGAGTACAACATGGACCTCTATGTTCTGCGCTTAGCAGAGGATGGTCCTGCCGAAAGGTGTGGAAAGATGAGGGTAAGTCGGAAGAAGAATCTGAGTAGATGCAAATACTCCAGTCATCTGCAGTGACTTTTTAACATTATATAGCTGGAAGCTTCTTCATGAGAATTACATTTTATACAGCTTTCAGGACACTCACAATGCATGACTGCCACCTGAGCGTAAATCTCTCCCTGAAGCATAGTTAGCTGTAGCTGCTAAAGTTAGGTGGACCCTTTCAACTCTTTGAGGTTGGAGGATTAAAAATACTTACAAAGTCATTAAAGATTATTAAAGGCGATACCTTCTGAATCCCATTTCCATAGTTGTTACACTTAATCTCGTGAGGCAGACATATCACTTCACAGGAGTTCCTGGCTGTGGCAGGATGTTCAGAGAGCAGGAAAGCCCTGTCATTCCGAAGGTTCTGAGTGGTGACCTCCACTCGTCTCTAGCCTCAGGAGCGCATGGACTCTGCCTCAGCTAAGGGACAGTTACTCCACAGCATGACTATGCAAGGTCACTCTGTAGTATCAAAGCTACAAAATTTAAATACAAATGCAAAAAGTCCACTCTGCTCTGTTTAAATAGCTAATACCTGTTATTGTATGTGGATATGTTGCTCTCCTGGGCAGATTAGATGACTAAAAAGAGAAAAGTCATTGCATCATAGGTAAGTCACATAGATTGAGACACACACATAGGAAGCATTTGGCATCAAATTTAAAAAAAAAAAAAATCAGGAGTCAGGTCAGGAAGAGAAAAAAGTGAATAAAACTGGGCCTGAGCAGAAAAAGGAAAAAAAGTGACCAAGAGTAGGGAACTTAATATTTGTACTTTAAGACACAATGTTGAATTTTAAGTTTCTTCAGGTTGAGTTTTTTAATGAGTTCCCCCCTTGGGAAAGCAGATCATGTAGCTGGTTTTAAAAAATTAAACAGTGAAAAATGATACAAAGTAAAATTAGTTTCCAGGATCAAACTGTTGATCAGTTTCTTACATAGAGTTTCTGATTGAATGAAATACCATTATCATGATATTTTATATAATGCTGTATAGATCACAACACGTTTACATTATTATCTGATATGACACCCTCAGCTTGGTGACAAGTGATAGGACTCAAATTCAAGGCTTTAAAGTCCAAAGCCAATGCTTCTCTTACCTTCTAGGATTATAAGCTTTATGAGAGCAAGGTCTGTCTGGTTTACTCCTTTATCACCAGTGCCTGGAATAGCAGCTGACACATAGTAAACGCTGCAGTCAGCGTATCCACCAGATCGCTGTTTCATGCAAAGGCTCAGCTGGGGAAGGATTTGCTTCTAAACTCACTATCAGGGTCGTTGGCAGGATACAGAGCCTGTTGGGCTGCTGGCCTGAGCCCTCCCTCGTGTCCTTAGCATGGTCTCTGTAGAGCAGCTCACAGCATGAATCAGAGAGGAAAAGTGAGAGAAGAGGGCAAGTAAGACAGAAGCCAGAATCATTTTGTAACTTTATGACCTCTCATTGCATTTGCCATATTCAGTGTGTTAAAAGCAAGTCACCAATTTCAACCCACATTCAAAGGGAAGGAGGTTACACAGGATGTGAATACAAGGAGGTGGGGACCCCTGGGGGCCCCCCTGGAAGCGGCCTACCACATCCTCCTTCCTACAATAGTTAATATTCCCTTCGCTGCTTTATTATTTTCCCTTAGGACTCACACTATCTAACATAGATGTATTTTTCTAATTTTCTTGTTAATTGTATTTCCCCCATTAGAATGTCATCTCCATCAGGGCAGAAATTTTTGTTTTGGTTTGGTTTCTTTCACTGCTGCATCCTAAGCAATAGGAGGTTTCTGGCATACACTCAGAAAGTATTTCGGAAATCAATAAATGAAAGAATACCAAATCATAAAGCACTTCAACAGCCAGTTTTGTGACCTTCTCCCTTTGTTTTCTCTTGCTTTGGACAGATCGGTGATGAAATTTTAGAGATCAATGGTGAAACCACCAAAAACATGAAGCATTCTCGGGCTATAGAACTGATTAAGAATGGTGGCCGCAGAGTGCGTCTGTCTCTGAAGCGGGGAGACGGCTCAGTACCAGAATATGGTGGGTCAAACTATGAAAACATTCCTTCCTTCCCTGGCATGACTCCATGACTCTGTCTCCAGAGCTGCAGCAGGAAAGTCTTTTGTTTCCCCTCTTCACCAGTGTCTTACCAGCCTTTCGCACCATGTGATTATTTGCCTCGCTTGTTCTGAAATCTACACATTCCATCCTTTTGCTTGCTTACGTGGACTGGGGCATGGCCTAAGACAAGATCTTTATAGCCCCCTTTCTGATAATCAGAGAAAACATTTTGTCTAGTCCGACCAAGAGCGAAGGAATGATTGTTTGAACTGTGCCAAACTGTTTCTCAGATCCAATTGTTAGCACAAAATGACTATACTTTTAAGAAGCAGGAAAGCAGGTTTCCTGAATGATACGTTGAGGCACAAATCTTTTTTTTTTCTTTTGTGGTTACTGGATGTCTTACTTATGAGACATGAAATTTTGAGATGATTTGGGAGCCTTGCTCACCTCCTTTATGCTCCGTATACAACACTTCTGCGTCCCCCCTCCGGTCCCTGCCCCAAATCAGACTACCTGAGCCCACTACTATAAAACAGACAAAACTGGTGATATGTTAGCCATACGTTTTTAAATGATAAAGGATGGAATAGATTCCCAGTGCTCATCATGAGGGAAACACGTGACTATACCTTTCCTATGGGGAAAGCCAGATTATGCATAGAGTTCTTTTGTCATATCTATAGACATGATTTGACTGAACAGCAGTGATCTTTACATAGCTTAGAGTCCTCATGGCAAAATATTGTATATTATAATAATTATGTCCTATTTATTTGAGATTGTTTAAAATTAAAAAAAAAAAAAAAA